TTTGGCAAACACCAAACTATAATAATAGTGCTGTAAGAATGTGCCCTCAAGAAATGAAGAGGTTGATCAAACACGTGAGCGCTGACGTCCGGTCCAACTGATGGGGCTGAGTTGGGCCCATCCAATGCGCCTTCAAGCAACTGCAGCTAGCCTAAACACAAAACTTTGAGTCTTGAACGGAGCTGTACACCTTACCCTCATTTCGTTTCCGTAAAGCTTGGATTCGACAGTTCGAAATTTTAGGGAGCTTCGATGATTATTTAGAAAAGCTCGCAACTTAGAAAAAAACAGTTTAATGATCACTAACTTCTACCTCGGCTCTTTCAACTATGACTCTCAGGAAGGATGAGCATCTGCCAATAAAGATCGAAGCTGGCCTTCAGAAAAACTTTGTGCCAGTTGAAATGGGTGAGGATTTTGTGGGGAAGGGGGGGGAGGCAACTCTTCACAAGGTTACTGGAAACTCTTCGACAGCCCACAACCGGTTTCTCCTCCGACCCGTAAGTTCGAACTGAACCCAAGTTCCAGGAAAGTTGTTCTTACAGGAACTCGGCCGAATCTCAGCTGAATTTTTTGCTTGACAAATTCTTCTCCCAAGATTCAGCTGAGTTGGTGTGCAAATGAGAATAGCTGATTAGAGTCTTTCAATTCATCCTAAAGATGGGGCATCATGCGTTGGAAATTTGAACGATATAACTTGTTCACGTTCATTAATGCTGGAATTAACAATATTGCAATCAAAGTAGACTGTCAAGCGCAAAGCCCCTTATGACTTCGTCCATAGTATATGAGTGCACAAAAGTCGATTGCGTTACGTCATCACGTGACCAGCAATTTCAGTCAAACGTCCAAACATTTCCAACTCATGCACATAGCGCGATGCACGCCTACTGTGCCTGGTGGCTACTTGTGATCTACACCTTTTCGAGCCTACCCTGCTTAAAGGCTGGGCGGTTTGATCAATATCGGCTCTCAGGTGATGAGGACACACGTTTTATCACCCGTGTTGACTATGTCGACGATGGTCCCGCCGATCAGGACTATGAACCACCGGAAGAAGACAACGAAGATGAGGAGATGGCCTATGATTATTCCAGGGATCAAGGTGAAGATGACTATTCAACAGAAGATGAAGAGGATGAAGAGTTGTTAAACAAGGCGCGAAATACAAGACTGAGACGTACACATGGTTCGTCGAGATACTATCTGGAACAAATCATTGATTTGTTGCGAACCTATGGTCCTATGATATGGCGAGCTGTAAAGTTCTTCGGTTAGTGCCTTTGCACCAGAGTTAGGTAATTTCTCCGCTTAGTTCCTTCTTACGTGATTTGTACATGTTTATACTATACTATCGAGGACATCATTAAACCGAAGTTTATTATCGGTGTGATGTTTTCTGCTGTTACTCTGGCGGGCTCGATTGCTCCGGTAATGTGTTGAACGAAGGGTTTGAATCACTGTCTTTCCCCTGATTTTATTGGAACGATGAGGTGCAAGCTCATGGCAAAAGCCGACACAAGTAATACGATACATTCCATTTAAGAACCCTTTGCTTGTACGATCAAACAGTTGTACAGAGTACTGACCATGAGTTGCTCTGAAATGTGACCGAACGGTGACCAAATATGGTCAGTATTTTTGAAGCCATTATTAAAAGGAATTCCGTTAAGTCGTAATTTTCAACTGGGTGCTTTCTGAATGTTCCCCCTCCCCAAGTTTTTACCAAACTTCTTCTGCTGATGGTCTAAACCTACGTGTAACCAAGGTGAATCAACAACTGCTTATTTATATACTAATATTTGTTTGTCAGGTCTATTCTGTGGACAAATGTGCCGGTTGTTGGCCAGTCCACGATACCCGTTTTGTTCCCTAACAGAGGAGCAGTTATCACAAGACAGCCATTGCTGGATGGTGTTATTTGAAACACTTATCAGCCGCAAGCGTGTGACAAGTGAACCGAGGACCAGATGTATCCAAAGAGCTATGGATGTCGCATTCAAGCAGACTTATCATGATGATGAGCGCTGGTGAGAGCGAGACTCGAGTCCAGTGCTTTCACCTTTTAGTATAAACTTACCAGAAGGATTGGATCAGGATAGGAGGATGACTGTTCAAACAAAGTGATGTGGGAGTGCACTGTACAGTCAAGATTGTACCGTTGTCTTGAATCAAAAGACCTGTAGGCGTGCTTTCAAAAAGCAAACTCTGTTTACAAATCTACCCACATGTGTGGTGAAGGTTATACTGAAAGTACGTTTGAAGCACGAGCAAAGGAACATATGCCTCAGTATGAGCCAGGCAGACGGAAACAAGTCTGCTGTGACCAATCGTAATCCTTTGTCAGAAGGTCTGGCAACTTCTGGTCTTCACTTCGCCTCATTTTTCCATTCTGGATGTCCGTCTGTATCAGTCGAATACTGAACTTAGGAGGTGGGAGATAAGATAGTAATTGATTGTTTTGTCTTTATTTTCTCATCACTGACCGACAATTGCTCTATAACGACTTGATCAAAATGAGATCACGTGTCTCAGCGTTCGTATTGCAGTACAAACTCACTATAACCTGGTCCTAAAATCATTCGTTACAATAACCTCACCTCAAAACCGAGAAATTCAGCTGGGTTCCAGGTGAGTCCCCAATCAAAACCAAATTAGTTTGCAGATGAGTGTAGGTCGCTGATTTCGTCCAATTTGGTTTCAAGAAGAACATAAGGTTGACGGAAACTCGGGGACTGCGCCTACCTGATGAGCCCCAAGAAGGGCGAAACCGGTCGTGGGCTGTCGGCGAATTTTCAGCAACCTTGTGAGTAGCGCGTTACGAAATGCATATGTATCGCGATATCTCGAATATCGTAGCGACTGAAACATGAGGCGGCCTGGTGCAGCCGATTCAGCTACCAGGACACATCAAGACCGAGGGATTCAGCTGGGTTCCAGGTGAGCCTCTCGAAGAACCAAATTAGTTTGCAAATGAGTGTATTTCGTTAACTTCACCTCACCTTCTGCCCCACGTGAGCTTGTGCAGACAATCAGGGCATGCTCCTGTTGACTGAATCGGGATAGTGCCGCAAAAGCACGGCCTATTGCTCACTATCGTGACAGTAGCAATCCCATAGCAAACGTGCTTGTGTGTTGTCGAATTTTAGTTGCCACCATTTTGACTTGTAGCTAAACGGACACAGTTGGTTGACGCAATATTGAAGGCAAACTGTACAAGAACAAACGCAGTGTCTAATCATTCTAAGAGCATAGTTGGTCTCCCTTCAGTTAATATTCGACTGGCTGTAACAGCCGTAATCAATGTACGTTTGTCCGGAATTCACGCCTCGAACCTAAATTGTGTGGCGGGTTCAGTTTCCTCGTAAGCTTCTTTCTTTTCACTTTGTCATAGATACAAACAGATTTCCCCAAATAAGGATGGGCGGAAAGCTGTTTTGTCGCGCCTGATGACCTGAAAAACTGCTCGGAGAATAGGATAACAAGAAATTTTCCATTTCGTGTCCAAATATAGTGTTTTGTGCGAAACACGGTATGAAAACGCACAAGACAAAACTTGTCAACATATCGTGATCTTGGGCAAGCAAAAGCGGATCAATAGCGACGTTTTTTGACTGACCTTGCTTGTTAGTTTGCGCGCTGTTAGATCGCTTTTCGATTTTTGATTGATTTGCCACGAGTGCAGTATTGTTATGAGGGGTCAGTGCAAAAGATTATTGATACAATATGGTTCTTGCTATTTCATCAGCACCGTCTAAAACCGATCGATATTGGGCTGGTTGCAGAAATCAATCGGGGTCATTCTCCTACTTGCTGACCAATATCCTGCAACATCTCGACTAGCGGGTCAACCGAAACGTGAAACAGACTTTGTGCAGTACATTCAGTTGAACAATATCACTGACCAGACATTCAGCTGAGATCCAGTTGAGTCTCTGGCGAAAATCAAATTTGTGCGCAAAGGAGTGTAGTTTTCGAACTGCGCCAAATTTGGGTTCAAGTAAAACAAAACTTTGACAGAAATTTGGGGACGAAGGACGAAGCCGGTCGTGGGCTGGCGAAGTTTTCACCAACCTTATGAATATATTTTCATGAAGGAAACCTCATGTAAATATAAAAACTTGTCCGGACATCTTGTCAAGTCAAAACACTATGTCTTCTTTGTGAATCGCCTTCAGATATAAGATAACGGGAGATTCGGTTGGAATTTAGCTAAGAATCAAGTTGAAACTAAATTGGCATGCAATCCAGAGTGTTATGTAAATCCGCCGATTATAAAAGGTGGGAATTCGCACGACCGACTTCACGAGTATATGAGCCGTGTTCATATGTACGATTTACTTTTGCGTCGTGATCAGTGCTGCCGAGCTCACAATAGGTCTATTTGCGCACGAGGCACGCGGTTGCACTCGTTGGGATAGACGACACTGACGCTATCACCCTAAACCAGCAGAAAAGGCCTCAGATCGTTCAAAAAAGATGAAGGCATTTCCATCCACGATGCATTTCATTGTGACTACGTAGAAATATCGCCATGTGCCTGAAGCATGAATGGCATTTTCCAGTCGGCCTTCTCTTAGTGCCAAAAGTTCTTCACTCAGTACGCATTGTATATGCACCCTAGGACGTTGTGCTGTGTGGTCGACCGATTGATTGTGGATTAATTAGTGCTACAGTGAGATTTGACGACATGAAACTTCGTCATCATCATCTTCATCATCATCATCATCATCATCAACATCATCCTCATCTTCATCATCATCATCATCATCATCATCAACATCATCATCCTTCCCATCATCATTATCATCATCATCATCATCATCATCATCATCATCATCATCATCATCATCATCATCATCATCATCCTCATCATCCTCATCATCATCATCATCATCATCACCATCATCATCATCATCATCATCATCATCATCATCATCATCATCACCGATTCTTCACTGCCGTATGGTCGTACAAGGGCTGAGATACTTCCAAGTCACCCACACTTACACAAGAGAACGATTAGGGTCCCCAACCAAAACCTTTGGCTGAAAAGCCTAACCGCACGGCAGCCGTGTTTGGCGGGAAATGCAAATGCATTCCCATTTCTGCGGAACAAGTCGGGAGAAATGGGATTCGCACATCTGAGGAACATTGCCATATAAGATTCAGGTGGCCTCATTACAACGAATGAGCGAATAACATCAGCTATCTTCGGTATTCTCAAGTTGCCCCACCTTGGATCACAAACTGTGCGCCTGAAGCAACGCTTCCAACAGAATAAACATGACTCTCAGAAACCTTGGTTGTTGATTGTGTGGCTCGCGAACCGAGGAGATATAATCAGTGATGGTTGGACGATGATAATGCTGTGCTGACTGCTAAGGTCAGCGGAACGATCAGCACTCACGTGGTCGGCAGTCACGCGCCTTCTCACTGTCTGCAATTCTCCTGGCCAACGGACATGGGAAGCAAGTAATAATAAAAGTTGTTGAAATTCCAGTCGGTCGTCATAAACGGAATCAAAGCTACTCTGTTCCCAGCCAGGCTCAAGTTCTTAGAAAAGCTGTTGGTAGTCTCGTCGATACGACTATGATGACAAGTTTGTAGCTTACGCATACCTGTCCATCTATCTGGCAGAATTTATGCTTCTGTCGATTACGCTATAGAACGGACTGTTTGTTCCTAGTTGAATAATTTCGGGTTCATAAAGGAAACTTCCCATAAGATTTGTAGTGCACTACTCATAACGTTGCTGAAAACTCCTCAACAGTTCACGACCGGTTTCGCCCTTCTTGGGGCTCATCAGGTAGGCGCAAGCACAGTAACTGTACCGCAGTTCGCGAAATCTTTTTTTCTAGCTATAACCACAGCAACCTAGTTGGCAGAGGACTCCTGGGAGAGACCAGTTGGTTGGCCTCCAGCTGCAAGCATAGTAACCTCAATACTGAGAAATTTGTAAACTAATTGAGCTTGTAACAGCTTGTAAGTCTATGAAACTGTGCTTTCATGTGACTTTAGGTCAAACTTCGTATCGACTAGTCGCACACTTGCCTAGGGGATCAAAATCGACCTGGTTATTCACGAACGTTTGGACCAACTATCCAACCATTGGTTGGATTCAAAAAACGCCGATATCGGGTATTATTGTACTATCACTTAATCTATCGCGATATCCGAATATCCTAGTGACCGGCCTGGTGCAGCACATTCAGTTGCCTGGAAACATCAAAACCGGGGGATTCAACTGGGTTCCAGGTGAGCCTTTCGAAGAACCA